TAATTTAATATCTTGAATATAGTAATTTAAAAGTTGGTTTTGTATTTTCATTCTTGTATTTTACCAATATTGCCCCACAGGGATTGATTTAAAGCAAACCAACCAATCCTTCACCACTAAGAATTGAGAAGCACCATTTTATGTGTCCATAAAGTCCTAGCTGCTTGGCTGGCTCTTGACAACCTGGCTCAGTGATCCCCTCTTCATCCCTGTGTATTCATGTGGGGTCAGGACTCCAGCCAGGTACCTTGTCTCTCTGGTGGGTCAGTTCCATAGCTTCTTGCAGACCTGGGGGCACCCTCTCAGAACAGCTGAGCACACAACGCAATTACTTCTCCTGTCACAAGCTATGACCCAAGGTTAGTGAAGGCCACTGCTGGCTGGAAGTCAGGCAACCAGGAGAATCAGGGGTCACATGGAGCTATTGTTACACCGGGCCTTATTGTCACAGGTGACCAAGAGAAGCCCCAGGGAGGACTAAGGGTTTATCTACTTGGGGGCTTAGGAGAACAACACATCTGTTTTTTCTCTCTCTCTCTCTCTTTATTTTTTAAGTAGGCGTGGAGCCCAACATGGGACTTGAACTCACGACCCTAAGATAAAGACCTGAGCTGAGATCAAGAGTCCAACGCTTAACTGACTGAGCCACCCAGGCACCCCTGTTTTTTCTCTTCTGTAAAGATGTCCCTAAACTTTGGCCTGCTGCTTGTGAGTCACCTCTCCCGGTGGTTCTTCAGTGGTGCAGCTGCCAACCATAGGAAGCCCTGCGGCATTCTGCCCTGCTCTTGGTTGATACCCGCTTCCTTTCCCTGGGTCCCTCATATCTACTCACAGGCATTGCTGAGTCTCTGTGCTGCTGGTCTAAGCTAAAGGGCCCACTTTCCCTCTCTGGTCTGAAGTTCTTTGGGACTTAAGAGCAGAATCAGCCTGAACCTTGGGTATTAGACGTGGTGAATGCCCAAGTACCAAGGAACAGCCACTTCCTCCAACCCTGGATTTGGTCCCTGTGCCGTGGCTCTGTCAAGCTCAGGAAACATGGGCTAATGTACTGAAGAGTAAAGAGGCATGCTATCTATAGCCCACTCTCAGATATCTTTGGAAAAAGCAAGGAACAAAAATTATTCTTAAAAGGAAGGTGCATTAAAAGGGGGTGGGTTAATTTCCAAAGGTGGAAACACCCTCCTAGCATAGAATGTTTTGTAAACTATGTTTTGCTTTCTTCTGTCTCCTGGGTATGGCAGGACATAGGAAGTGGTTTCCTTCCCATTATCTGCTGAATTTCTTTACTGATACCCCAAGCCTGTGCGTATGCCGACCCCTTGGCCTGGAATGCCTCTTTCCAGTTCACCTGGTCAACTGAGACCATGCCTCCTGACTTCCCTCAATGTCTCTGTTCATCCCGGTTGCCCTCCTTGAATTGCTTTCCAGGGAAAAGCAAACCCACATGAATTCAGGATTGGATCCTCAGGGTAGATTCTTTCAGGTCTTCTGCTGTCTTAAAGTGCCCTCTACCGGCTACAGAAAATAAATCCTCCCAGGATATGTTTGCCAGCCAGGAGCCCACATGAGCAAAAAATTAATTTTCTAAATTTCCATTCCATTTAGGTCATCAGAATAACTTTCCACCTCCACAGAGTTCTCCTCAGATGAATCTAAATTCGGGGTGACAGCACTCATATGAGCTTTGGGGAAGCATGGGTCTACTTTCTTCCCCTTGTTGGAAAGGGCCCCTAGGGCATACCTGCCTTGCTGCTCCAGGCAATGTTTAGAAGTGAGTCCTACATCTGTCTGGTACCAGATACTTGGTGATCCCCGGGGATCTCTCTGTGGAGACCCACTTGCCATTTCTACTTTTGTGTGGTCATTGCCTAAGTAGGGGTGAGGAGGGGTGGTATTCTGGAATATCTTCACTTTCTTGGCCCCTCTGTGAAACTAGCTCATCTGTACTTAGATCTTCAGACTTCTCTGGGGCTTCTCCCAAGACCCTAGAGTTGGCCCAGGGTCCGGGAAGGTGAAGGGCCCCCATGTTAGTTGTGGGTCAGAGACCTGTCCAACAGCTCTCCTTCATGTACCGGCTTGAAGAAGCTGCTGGGACATTGGCGTAGCAGAGGGGCAATAAGCAGTAAAAAGGGAAACTGGTTCAGTAGGTTTCATCTCAAATCTTTGATTTTTTTTTTTTTTTTAAGATTTTTATTTGAGAGAGAGAGAGAGCATGAGCAGTGGGGAGGGGTAGAGGGAGGGAGAGGGAGAGAGAAGCAGACTCTGCTGAAAGACACGGGGCTCGATCCCAGGACCCCGAGATCATGACCTGAGGCTAAGGCAGATGTTTAACCGACTGAACCACCCAGGCACCCCCTGAATCTTTTGATCTTAATCAAAACATTTACTCAGCTTTTTCTGTACTCATAATTAAAAACACCAAGAATTTGACATCTTTGTTTCCTGGTCCCATCAGCTGCCTCTTTGAGAACTTCCCCTTGGGCCCTTGTGCCTTCTGGTTGAGCTTCCTGGGCTGGGGGTAGGGTTCAGGATATACATGAAGAAATTTAATACAGAACAGGGAGGAAAAAACAAGCCACCCCAAGCATCCTCCTGCCACGTGCCACAGCCATGAGATAGAAGAATGCATTTATTCTTACAGTTTATAAGACCTATGGTATTAGGGTGCTTCCTACCTTTTAAGGGTTCTTTTTCTTGTATTTAAAAAAAATATTTGGAGAAAGAGAGAGCAAGCAGGGAGAGGAGGGGAAGGAGAGGAAGAGAGAATCTGAAGCAGACCGTGCTGAGCATGGAGCCTGACACAGGGCTTGCTCTCACAACCAGGAGACCATGACCTGAGCCAAAACCAAAACTGGACACTTAACTGAGACACCCAGGCACCCCAAATCTTTTAAAATTAAGCTCTCTGCCCAACATGGGGATCGAACGCACAACCCCAAGGTCAAGAGTTGCATGTTCTACCAACTGAGCCAGCCAGAAACATCTGAAAATGACTTGGAGATTTCAAGCCCCTCTATCTTAATTCTTTAGCTGGTATTGCCTAAGAAATAGGACAAGCTTTTACATAGTGACAGTACAACTGAATTCAATGAAATTCAACATTGACATAATATTTTTTAAATGTGTTCAGTATTCAAATTTCTCTGATCATCCCAGTATCTTTTATTTTTTTTTAAAGATTTTATTTATTTATTTGAGAGAGAGAGAATGAGAGACAGAGAGCATGAGAGGGAGGAGGGTCAGAGGGAGAAGCAGACCCCCTGCCGAGCAGGGAGCCCGATGCGGGACTCGATTCCGGGACTCCAGGATCATGACCTGAGCCGAAGGCAGTCGCTCAACCAACTGAGCCACCCAGGCGCCCCATCCCAGTATCTTTTAGAGCCTGTTTTTCAGTTCAGAGCCACGAATTAGTTGTCTCTTTATTCTCCTTTATTCTGATATAGGTTCTTGGTCTTTCTTTCATGACATCGGCATTTTTAAAGGGAACAGGTACCTTGTTTTATAAAATGTCCTCAATCTGGGTTAGTCAATCTGTCAACCTCATGATTCAGGTTTTGCAATTTTGGCAGAACAGCACAGAAGTGATGTGTCCTTCCCAGTACATCACATCAGGAGGTACTCCTATCAGTTTTTCTCATTTGGGTAAAGTTTAATGACTTGTTGGAAGTGAGGCATGACCAGTTTCTCCACTGCAAAGGTACCTTCTCCCCCTTTGCAAATTAATAAACATTCTACAGGAAGATATGTGTGTAACTATCCTGCTACCTAACACACTCTCTCCCAACCCCATGGTTTTGGCGTCCATCGTTGTTAAGATGAGTTAGTCTTATGGCTGCAAAATGGTGGTTTTCCTAACTCTATTGCCCCTTCTCTATTCATCAGGTACCATGCTACTGTAAGGAAGGGCTTAGAAGAATGCATTATGCTAGGATCCTTTTCCCATTCCTCCCCTACATCCTTACCCTCTGCTTGAAATGCCTCCCCCCGCGGGGCAAATCCTGCCCATCTTTGAAGTCCAGATCCAGAGTCCCCTTGTCTCTAAGCCTTCCCTGGCCCCAGGTGGGCAGATAAACCCCTCTGTCTCTTGCCTTCAAGCAAGATGGGCCGCAGCTGTCTGGCCATCTCAAGTTTCTGGGGCTGGGAGAGACTGTGGAGGGAAAACCCTCCCTCCCATAGCAAGACTCCCACCCCAACACCGCCTGACCCAGCACAGTGGTTCTCAAACTTTAGCCCCAGAATCACTGGGAGGGCTTGGTAAAACACAGATGCCTGGGCCCTACCCTGGATTCTGATGCACGGCCCAAGAATCTCACTGGCTTAACAAGTTTGTTTCACCTTCACATCACGTGCAAAACGTGGGTTGGTGGGGAGTCTGGCCCACGTGGTTCCTGGGCAACCCAGGGTGATGGAGGCTGTACCAACATGTCACCCCATTTCCACCTGCGCTTCAGGGGAAGGGAGGGGTATGGAGAGTCAGGCACGATCTCTCTCTGCTCACAGCCCACAGGCCAGAACTAACTGTGTGCCTTGTCCCCTGCAGAGTGGCTGGGAAGCATGGGGACAGAGGGACCCTGGGGTGAGCGCCCTGGCTTCCTGGTCTCCACCACGCTCCCCTTCTCTACCAGCAGGTGAATCTTCTTTGCGCTCCTCAAACACACCAAATGCTTTTCTGGCCTTTGTGCCTTTGCACTGGTTGCTCTCTGCCCACGTGGTCTTGTGCCAGATCTCACACAGTTATCTCAAGTGCCACCTCCCTGGAGAGGCCTTCCCTGACTGCCACCCACGCCCTCACAACACGCCGTTAGAATTCTCTACCTGGCCCTCATTATGCCGTGTTCGGTGCCATCTTTCTCCCAGTAACAGATTGTATGTACACTCCACAAGAGCAGAAGCTACTCCGATCCCCACTGCCTAGAACAGGACCTGGCACACAGTAGATCGTCAAGACAAACTTACTCGATGGATTAACCCTAAGGTATATTACTGTTCCCATCCTGCAGGTTAAGAGGCCTCAGAAGACCATAAGTGGCTCGCCCAAGGTCACAACATGACCGAATGGTAATGCCTGATTTATTTATTTATTTATTTATTTAAAGATTTTATTTATTTATTTGAGAGAGAGAATGAGAGACAGAGAGCATGAGAGGGAAGAGGGCAGAGGGAGAAGCAGACCCCCTGCTGAGCAGGGAGCCCGATGTGGGGACTCGATCCCGGGACTCCAGGATCATGACCCGAGCCGAAGGCAGTCGCTTAACCAACTGAGCCACCCAGGCGCCCATGGTAATGCCTGATTTAAAATCCATGCTGCCACCACCCACTACTGTTTGTCTGCATAATTTCACTGTGTCCACAGACGGAGGTGGCGTAAGTTTGATCCTTTTTCTCTCAATTTTCTGACGACCCTCCACTGTCCTTGGTTTTCAAAAAAAATTTTAAAGATTTTATTTCAGAGGAGTGGGGAGGAGGGGCAGAGGGAGAGGGGAGAAAGAATCCTAAGCAGACTCTGCACTGAGCACGGAGGCTGACGTGGGGCTCGATCCCACAGCCCAGAGATCATGACTGGAGCTGAATCAAGAGTCAGATGCTTAACTGACTGCACCACCCCAGATGCCCCTCAAAAACTTTCTTAACACAACTCTGTGGAGAGCAACCTGGTAATTGTGAGATGTGCTCACATGTGAAAGATTAAATACATGCCAACTTTTTTTCGTTACAGTGTTGTGATAGAAAAGGCCAGAAGGAACTCCGTGTGTCACCAAAGGGTACTGGTCCACGGGAGTGTGAATGTATTCACCGTGGGTATGTATGCATGGTGGAACAGTGCACAGCCCTGAAACGTAAGGAAGATCTCTGGATTCCAACTGGACAGGTGTCTAAGGGACATTTAATCTTCCAGAAGAGCTGAACAGCTTTACGACTCACATAAATGAAAAGGACAAAATGATACACAAGCCAGAATCCCAGTGTGGTTTCCATCACTTGAACTTCTTTTATTGATATTCATTAGAGAATAAAATTGTATTGGTTTTTTTGATGCATGACAACACACGCTATTGGTAGTGGTTGAAAAAGGTTGATCATGAACTATACTAAATACTGCAACCTCCGAATTGCTGATTTTTACACTGGTATTTCCTTTGTGGTGATGGGTGGCTCCTCTCTGAATACATATAGTGGTCCGTTCAGTTCATGGTTTCCATATTCCTTTGTTATTCTACCTACTGCCTAAAAATACATTCAAATACAGAGAATTTCCTTGCAGTGAGTGCACACATACAACCACAAGGGGAGCTGAAAATAATGAACCAACCCCCTCGTGTTCTGAGAATAAATAATCTAAAAGGGTGGGACTGAAATTTGCTCCTTTGAGACATCCTCAAGGAGTCTTCAGTGGGCATGTTTACACTCGGCTGGACACATTTTTGCAGGGGTGGGAGGAGGGGGGGGCTGGGAAACAGGGATGGCAATGTGACCATTTCATCTGCATATGATGTCACCCGGAACAAAGGACCAGGGAGCACTGTGCCGGGCAGTGCAGCCTTCAGGTGGGAATAAATAAGTTACCTGCTTGGAGTGGAAGGCCACAGACACACCGTGACCAGGGCTGGAGAGAACAGCACACACACACACATAATAAATAAAAGTTCAAAATGGTCAGTGACAGCAACAGGACCAGGCTCCCCTGTTCATTTCTGGTTCTTGCCACGAGCACCTCTATCTGATTTCCTAGGGATAAACAGTGGGCACACGGAGACCAAGGTTTTGGGGGGGGGGGGGGAAGGATCTTCTTGTGACCACTCTGTCCTGAAACACGAGGGCAAGGTGCGGGGGCACCGACTGTGTGCGTAAAGACCACGTCCGTGCCAGCACACGGGCCAGCCTCCGACGCCACAGTGAGGACCGGAACCAGCAGGATGCCCAAGCCACGTTGCTCTCGTGAACCAGTTTGGTATTGCATTAGGTGGGTGGTTCTTTTTACTTTTCCCGCTGACACATTCCATCCAGCCCTTTCCCCCTACCCCGCCCCCAGCCCGTTCCTTTTCATCCTATTGTGAAAATTGTCTTGGGTCTGGTCTTAATTTGGTTTGTGACCCCAGGTCCCCAAACTCCACTGCTATCTATCTCACTAGCCACTGGGCGTGCATGAACCTATTTCCGTGGCCCAGAGCCACAGAGAGAACAGACTGCGACTTTCCATCTAGTACCATTACTTCCCTGCCTATAAAAAAATGGAGAAAATAAGACCTCACACAGAACACAGGGGGGGTCGCTACATTCTTTCAGGCCACACGTCTGGCCTGACGACCGGGGACAGGACATCGAAGGGTGATTTGGGTTGAAGGCATGGAAAGAAAAAGTCACACCTCAGAAAAGAAGCGACTCTCCACTGAAGCAGAGGAGTGAAGGTCTGGAGGCAGAGAAGGAAGAACAGTCCTGCCATCCCGGAAGCAACATCCGCTGCTCGTGGCCGCACACGAAGGCTCCCGCTGTTCCCGCCCAGCGACACGGGCCGGCAGAGGCCGCGCGCCAGCTCACCACGGGCGGCACCGGGAGCCAGCGGCGGATTCACGGGTTTCCTATCCATGGGATAAGAACGCCCTTGGGAGTTTCAGTGCTTCTCGAAGGCGAGGAGGAGGCGAACAGGACGCCCGGCCACTGCCCTGCCCTCGGGCTAGCACAGGTACAGTCCCCGTGAGAGCAGGGACGGTGCTGGGGCCCCTCCCGCCCGATCGGGAGAAAGGGCAGGTGGATACAAGGTCCGCAAGTCCTATGTACACTTTACAAAGTCTCCACTCTTCCCCCATTAGGCACGAGGTTGATTTGTCTAGCTCCAGAGGGGAGGGACGGAGGAGGAAAGAGGGAGTGCACAGTGAGGGGGGGGCGGGGGCGGGGAAGAGAAGGAGGCAGGAGCAAGCCTGGTCTCCTCCAGGGGAAGGGCCCTCCTCCCCTCCTCACCGTAAGCTAGTTTGTTTGGGGAGCTTAGCACCCATCAAGATGCCCGAGGTGAGAGTCACAGGGGCTTTCATCTGCATGCTGGACCCCACCATGGTGGGGAAGCTGCGGTTCCTCCGGATGCCGCTGTTGAGCTGCAGTCCGCCCATGGCACTGGTGACAGTGGGGCATCCGAGGGGCAGTCCCTCGGGGACCAGGCCGCCAGGGACGAGGGCCTGGGCGGGGCCCGCGGGCCCACAGAGGAGAGGTCCCTGATCCTCAGTCAAGGTGGGGACGTGGGCTCGCCCTGAGTTCACCACTTTGGCCACGCCAAACCTCCTGACTTTGTCCACGAGGTTGAGGTTGGAGACAGACACGTCTGTCTGGCTCTCACTGCTCCGGACGTTCTTCTTCTCCCTCACTTCCCTCAGGATGGAGCTGGCCGGCTTGGAGGCCAGGAAGTTGTCATAGGGAGGGCTCGTGCACTTGAACTCAAAGGAGGGCGGGGAGGACGTGGGCGTCTGCATAGGCGAGTTGGGTGGGGTGGAGGGGATCACAGCCATCCTGGGGGTGTAGGAGTGCAGGAGGGAGCCCCGGCCGGCCCTGTCCCAGCTCTGAGGATCGTACACGGCCGCGGAAATGCCCCGCTCCTTCAGCAGCCACACCAGCCCCAGAGACGTGCTCATGGTGGTCGTGGACTCACGGATGTTGGTGAAGGATTCAGCCAGGCTCAGTCTCCGTGGAGTGCACGGTGTGGCCACCGGCGTGGACTTCAAGTGGCTGGCGCTGCCACAAGCTGGAGTTGGAGCCGAGTTAAGGCTGACAAGAAAAGACAAGAGGTCATTCGTCAGCAAATGCCCACAAGCCCCCGGAAAGGTTCGTGGCCAGTCTCCTGCTGGGGAGCAGGGAGGGCTCCCCCAGCCCAGGTTCCCCAGATGCCTCTTTCCCTGTCTGTTCCTCCCTCCTACCCAAGAGGGCCCTGGGTTCCCTTGCGTGAGGGCATGGTTTAAAGTTAACAAGCTGCACGTTGATTCCCTTGTCTCGGCCCCAGAGGGCAGGGATAACTGTCCCCTCTGCAGGTGAGGCAAGTCAGACTCAGAGGTTAGGTGGCTAGTCAATGTCACACTCAGCTATTAACTGGAAGACCCAGGATTTGAGCCCAAGTCTGAGGGCTCATGCCTCAAGGATGGGGCTGGGGGGAGCCCCTCAGCAGAGAGGCTTCCTTTCCCTACCAAATTTACTCAAATTTCAGCGTTCCTTCCTAACGACTACTTCCCTGAGGCAAGAAGTTAACTAGGACTATGGGATCTGAGAGCTCATCTCAGGAATGGCCCCAGCAGGTAGGACCCTTGGGTGATGGGAGGGGGGGGAGGGCGGAGGCTGAGGGCGTGCATCACATCAGCAGCGGACCCCAGCCTCCTGACTCCCACTGTAGGCTCTTCCCTCCGTGCCACGCTAACCCCTTCGTCCTTCTCCCGTGGTTGCTGAGTCCACCTCGGGGGGTGGAGATGTGGGGTCAGCGGCAGCCACATCATGTGTCATCAGGCCTATATCTGTATGAAACGTGCATCACCAAAGGAAAGCAGGAAGATTCCTTCATCTACTCCTGCCAGGCTGGCTGAGGACCCAGTATGTTCCAGAAGCTGGGGTCCCGCAGTAACGGGAGTTATGACAAGGGTGTAGCAGGCGCTGCAGGGGCAAAGGCATTGCTGTCTGCTTAAAAAACAGGAAAGGCCCTCCCGTAACAGCTGGTACAGGGATGGGGCTGGGAGGCCACACAGGCCCTTCACGGCTGCTGGATGAACCGCCAAGGGCAAAGCCGCATGCCCCTCTCCTTATAGTCTTGCGAGCCCTGCCCTGCTACCCACCCAAGGACATGGCAGGGGCTGCAGGTGCCCTTTGGAACAGCCAGCTGGGTGGTCCCCGGCAGCTGGGGGACCCTCTGTCCCCAGCCTGGCAGGGGGAGGGCCAGATACCTGGGGCAAGACACCAACCAGGGGAATGGGCAGGAAGGGGCCTCCCGCTGTGGGAGGGAAGGTCACAAGCAAGTTCGAGCTAAGGCATCCTTTGGCTCCTTGCCGCTGGCTGGTCAGCACGGGGCGAGAAACCCAGAACAGGCCCACCTCACGCAAGCTCAGGGGTGGGGATGCTGGTGGGGCGGGAGCACTCAGAGAAACACGGGATTAGAAGCCACAGCAGATTCCTAAGGTTAAAAAGTGGGTTCTTCAAAAGGCACAGGTGGGATTTGACAAAATTGGTCTACAAGCAATAGAGGACAAGAACAGTCTGGACTCAAAAATCTTGTTGACGGGGCCATTCTTGGGGAGATCTGTGATTTTGTGTCAGGCAGCCGTTCCTTCAAACGCACGCAAAAAGCCTTCTCTTGCTACTGACTGCCTAGGCCTTTTCCGTCCCTGACAAGAGATGGGGACAGGTGTGCTGGTTGGCGTCCCTTCAGGCAGGAGAGCACTGGGCACCAGCCTCTCCCAGGGGAAGCTCTACCACACGGTGAAAACACAGAGCTCTTCCAACGCAGAGCCCTGGGGGGTGCTTGGGGGGGCTGGGGGGTGGGGGAGGGGGATGCCGGCTTCTCCAGAGGCAGGAAGGAGACAGAGAAGACAAGCTAACGTTCAGATTCCCTTTCTGCCGAGAACTTCCGTTAGGCCCGTATTAGTGCTGGCACTCGGCTCAACTGAGGATTTAGGGGGTTAGGGGTATCCACTGTCAAGGCCACGTTAGCCAGGCACAACCACAGAGACACAGCCACGCCTAAGTCCCGGGTTAGTGGCGGCCACGCGTGCACACACAGCTCCTTCCAGGAGGCCCTGCCCGGGCACGCACCGCTGACGGTGTGCTCACCCCCTGCCTCGCCTGTGGGCTCACTCTCTGCCCTACATCTCCTCTCAGCTCAACAGGGCATAGGGCCGCTTCGTCGTCCTCCTCACATGACCTGCGGAGAATTATTCATAGTTTAAGGGGCTCCCTGGGGCGGCTGCTCCCTGCGGGGGC